ACTGAGTTACAAATTATGTAACTCATAGGGTCAGCATTGTGGCACAGTGGGTAAAGCCATCATGTGTAGCACCAGCATCCCACATAGGCACCAGTTCAGTCCCAGCTGCTCTACTTCTGCTCCAGCTTCCTGCTAATACACCTGGGAAAACGGCAAAAGATGGCCCAAGCGCTTAGATCCCTGTCATCATGTGGAAGACCTGGATGAAGCTCCTGTCTCCTGATTTCTGTCTGGCCCAGCCCCAGCTACTGTGGCCATTTGTGAAGTGAACCAACGGATGGAAGACCTCACTCTGTCTCTTCCGCTCTCTGAAACTTTGCTTTCAAGGAAATAAAATCTTAAGCAAAGAAAGAAATCTCCATGCTGTTTTTTGTTTTGGTTTGGTTTGTTTGTTTGTTTGTTGTAAAATCAATGACTGGCCATGGGGAGTGAATTGGGAGGGGACACAGAAGGACCCTGAACCTTGGGAACCTTGCCTTAGGGGCAGAGATTGGACTCTTTCCGCTCTCATGGTCACTGAAGCTTGGGGGCCATGCAGGGGTCCTGGGAAGAGAGTTGGGCACTGCAGTGGCTGCAATGGGAGGCTAATTTCATCTCTGCTGCAGCTCATTGGCCCGCTCCTTGTCAGTCACGGCCCCACCCTGCCTCTACCCTTGCTTTTAAATTAATCTGCTAGGAAGAGAAAAAGAGAGGGAGTGAACCAGAAATACGGGACAGGCAGGAGAAAAGAAGAAAGGAGAGGGAGAGGGAAGGTAAGAGGCAAGAGGAATGAGAGACGCCGGGTCCCTGCGTCTCCATGGCCCCAGGAAGTGGGAAGTGGAATTGCTCTTCAGTTTGCTGTCAGGAGTCGCCATGGAGACAGAGCGCTGGTCTCTTCATGATTAATACTCCCAGGCAGCTGTCTTCTTAAGAGTCTTTTTAAAATATATACACCATTATTTGAACACAATGATATTTAGAGCAGAGAGATCAAGGTGGGAAGTGAGGTGGGGAGCAGGAGCCCTACCAGAACTATGGCAGGGGCTGGGCCCTTCCCAGAAGGCAGAGGAAGCTGTCTCCCTCCCTCCACCTCCCCTCCCCACCTCGCTCCCCACACCCGGGGCTCCATGCACTGCAGCATCAGCATCGAACGGGCTGGCGCAGCACCTGGCACAGGGCTGTGCTCAATGAACATTTGATGAATGAATTCGTTCATTCATTAATTCTTTCAGCAAGGGTTTGTTCACTGCTTGTCTAGAAAGTAAACTCGCCTTTTCCCCTGGAAATAGGAAATTCCCTCTTGCTCCTCCCAAGGCCATACACACACACACACACACACACACACACCAACAACTTCCACAATAGCTCCTAAGGGCCTCGCGTGCACTCCTCCTCAGCACACGTCTTGTGTGACCTTCCCAAGGCACTCACTCCAGGGATATCTTGCAGGGCTGGACAGCAGCCAGGATTTGCACTCAGCATCCTGTTTGGAGAGCTGGAGGAAAAGGCATCTTGGAATGAATCCTTTGGTAAATGAATGATCTTTTCCTAAACTATCTCATGGAGTAGGCTAGCTTGAGCTCCACCCTCGGCCCCACCTCAGAACAGACATGTGGCCTTGGGCAAGTCCTTTAGCTTTTCTGATATCCTTAATTCCTTACTCCCTAGAACTTCTGGGAAGATTCAATCACGTGATGTTTCGAAAGTGTATGAGATTTCCCTTTTATCCCTTCTGCACGTTTGTGGTTTTACATTTGAAGTCTGATTGGAATGAGACACATACATCTAAGCTTCTCTCTCTTCCATCCCCCTCCAGAGATCTTTATTCTATCTGGGTCCATAATCTCTCTTTAAACTGTTGAATTTTGAGGGGATCAGAAGAGCTGATCCAGGAAGTCTACAAAATGATAGCTCAGTTACCATTCATATATTCTTCCCCCTTCCTCAAGGAACCAAATGGAAATGCAAATTTCCCTCCAGATGTCATGATCCTGCGTGTGTGCGTCCACCGGAGGGGAACAGCACAGAGATGGAGGTACGGATCAGCATCTGCCCATAGCACAAGCCTCCTCTCCTAATTCCTCTCAGTATCACTCCTCACTCCCACCCTAGCCTTACCCCAGGCACGCCTCTAACAACAGGAAGCTAGGGTGAATTGGGCCCTTGTCCTAACACAGACCTAGCCCAAATGGACCTTGGCAGAGAGTAGCTATGGGCTGGCAACACACCAAAGGACTAGGGGAATTATCTGTGACTAAGAAGGAGGAGGAATGCTGTGGCAGAGGGAAGAACAGCAGAAGGGATGGGCAACCTGGGGCTGGCCAATCTGGCCCGACGGAGTGACCTGGGGAGTCCTGGACGCCGGCCCAGCCAAACTCCTCTCCCTCCCTTCCAGGCAGCAAGATGTCAGCGTGGACCTGAAGCATGTGTGCCTTGTGTGTCTAGTGTGGGTTCACCTGGCCTTGATGCATTTGGATTAGAATCAAACCCTGAATCGCTCCTCGGCCTTTTGGCTAAGATCAAGTGTAGAATCAAACCCTGAGTCTGAAATACAAGGGAAACAGTGCTCTGTGTGTCCACTCCTTACAGACAAGAGCTGGACTTCTACAGTGCCTCCAAGCACACATACATGCTACAAACAAAGAACCACATCCGCAGTCAATCGTTAGGACGCACTTTGTGAAAACCTTGGTCTCATCCGAGGACTCAAGGAGAGGATGCCTACAGGTGTGTCAGCAGACGTTTTGCAGGCGACGTGTGACAGGACATATTCTGTGAACTCACTTGAGGGTCACTGTGGAGTGGGGGCAGTCAGGAATGGGAATGGGCCTCAGGGTCCAGAAGAAGAAAACCCATCATCTACCTTGCATCCCACAACAGGAACTTAAGGAATGAATAGTGCATAATGAATGAACATACAAACTGAATGAATGGATGTTTGGACAATGGATACGGGGAGGGTGGGGGGAGGACTCCAACCGCGATGGGCTAGGAGCATTCTTGGGAACTCTACTTTGGAAAGGAAAGGATGAGGGGAAGGGAGGCTTGGAGATAAACTGCCAGTCACACTGTAACCCCACCCCTAGGAGTTTTGTTTCTATTTGAAATAAAGAAGGGGAGGGCAGCGGTGTGGTATAGTAGGCTAAGCCTCTGCCTGTGGCGTTGGCATCCTATATGGGTACCAGTTTGAGTCCTGGCTGCTCTACTTCCAATCTAGCTCTCTGCTAATGGTCTGGGAAAGCAGTGGAAGATGGCTCAAGTGCTCAGGCCCCTGTACCTGCATGAGAGACCCGGAAGACACTACTGGCTCCTGATCAGCCCAGCTCCAGCCATTGTAGCTATTTGGAGAGTGAACCAGTTGGTGGAAGACCTTTCTGTCTGTCTCTGTCTCTCTCACTCTCTCTGTAACTCTATCCCAAATAAATAAATAAAATATTTAAAAAATAAATAAATAAAGCAGGGGGAAAGGAGAGCTGCCCTCCTCACCTTCCAGCATCCAGAGTCCTGGGAATGGATACTTAAAAAGAAAAACATACTACGGCCAGCGCCGCGGCTCAATAGGCTAATCCTCCACCTAGCGGCGCCGGCACACTGGGTTCCAGTCCCGGTCGGGGCACCGGATTCTGTCCCGGTTGCCCCTCTTCCAGGACAGCTCTCTGCTGTGGCCCTGGAGTGCAGTGGAGGATGGCGCAAGTCCTTGGGCCCTGCACCCTATGGGAGACCAGGAGAAGCACCTGGCTCCTGCCATCGGATCAGCGCAGTGCGCTGGCTGCAGAGCACTGGCCGTGGCGGCCATTGGAGGGTGAACCAATGGCAAAGGAAGACCTTTCTCTCTGTCTCTCTCTCTCACTATCCACTCTGCCTGTCAAAAAAAATTAATTAATTAAAAAAAAGTTTTCTCTATCCTGGGCTGGCATTGTGGCACAGCAGGTTAAGCTGCCCCTGCAACACCGCCATCCCATGGGGCGCTGTGTCAAGTTTCAGCTGCTCCACTTACAGTACAATCCCTGTTAATGCACGTGGTAAAACAGGGGAGAATGGTCAAGTGCTTGGGCCCCTACTGCCTACGCGGGAGACCCAGATGGAGTCCTAATAAATTCCAGGCTCCTGGCTTCAGCCTGCCCCAGTCATTTGGGGAGTGAACCAGCAGATGGAAGTTTCCTCTCCTTCCTCTTCTAACTCTTTCAAATAAATAAAGAAATACAATTTTTTAAAAAGTCCATATCCCATGCCTCAAAATTAACTCTGGAAGCTATTCTGCAAATATATGCACATTTACACAGTCAAAAACGTTGGGTCTGACAATGTTAGTAAAAGCAAACGGTTCAAAATTACCTATATTCTCATGCACAGGGACAAATTAGCTAACTTGCGGTCCTCCCTTAAAATGGAGTATTACACACTGTTAAAAAAGAACGACCAGCTTTCTTTGTTCAGATGCCGCTGTTCTAAAAAAAAAATACACATTGAAGAACATGCTTGCACACACACACACAAATTTTCTGAAAGAATACACAGAAAATTGTAGTTACCTCTGAAGGTAGGAGTGAGGAGGGGAGGGGAGAGTAGTTTTTACTTTTTTCATTTAGAGTATACCTTTTGGTCCTACTGACTCCTCGCCCCCACTATTAACAAGTACTGTGTTGCCACCATTCATTTAAATAACTTATTTTTCATGGCACAAACTCAGAGAAAACCTATTCAGAAAATGGAAAAACACATAAGTCAATCGAGAAGAGTGAAGACGATAACCTCTGTGGTTTACTCAATGTGCCTGGAACTTCATGTGCCTCAATTCAGTCTTTTGCCACAACAAATTCACAGGTGAGCAAGGTCAGCGGGGATTAAATGATAAACTATTACGTGGCAAAGGATGGCTTCGCACCCAAACTGCATAATTCTAAAGGCCGCGAGATCCAACCTCGCCACCCTTCTAGGCGGGAAGCTCACGGACAGGACGCCAGGCCCCAAACGCACCAAGCCCCAGCTGGGCGCACCCCCGGGTAGGCGCGCACGGGCCGCCACGCTTGGGGAGCGCGCGCGCACGCAACGGCGCGGGCCCGCCGGCGGCGGCGACGGCGACGTCACAGCCCGAGCTTTCCTTTTCGGGAGTCCCCGGCACACATCCTGTGTCCATGTTTGGGCATTTACGTCACGGCGGCAGGGCCGGGGCCTCCCGAAATGGCAGTGGCCCGGGGAGTCGGAAGCCCGGAGCCAGCGCCGCCGCAGCTATATAAGTGGGGGGGCTGTGAGTTGGGGGAGCCCGGCTGCGCTTTGGAGAGGCGAGGAGCCACCGCCCGAGGCAGGTGCCGGCGAGCGAGGGCGCCGCCGCTCCCTGACCCCTTTCCCGGAGGTGAGCGCCCAGAGCCAGAAGCCCGGGCGCCTGGGTGTGCGCGCCGCGGGGCGCCCCGACCGCCGGCCTCCTCGCCACCCGCGCGCCCCCAAGCCCAGCGGGCGAGGCCTCGGGCGCCCCGCAGCCGCCGCCGCGCCATGCTCCACCTTACCGAGTTTTCCGGCCCCGACGCGCTCCTCAAGTCCACCGAAGGCTGTTGTGCCGAACCCAGCGCTGAACTCTCCCGGCTGCCAGCCAGGGACGCTCCCGCGGCCCCGGGCTACCCTGGAGGTAAGGAGCGCGGTGAGAGGTGCTCAGACGGCGGCGCGGCGCGGGGGCGCACGATGCCTGGGAACGGCCGGGACTGGGACGCTGGAGCTGTGGGGATTCGAGCAAGGGGAGGCGCGGGGTCCTGGGGGTTGCGCACTCCCAATCCCACCCCCACCGGAACCCGTGCGTGCAGCAGGGCTTCCTTTTGCCTGTGCACGTGTGTTTTGCGTGTGCATGTTTGTGTGTGCGTCTTGGGAAGTATGCCGGCCCCTGCTGGATTAGAATGTTCAAAAGGCACTTTGCATGTGTCCGTGCACACTAAGGGCTTCGTGGGTAGGGGTTGCGGATCCGGGGGCTCGCTGTTTGGGACAGCCAGAGCTGATTCCTGCTCCCTCCCCAGCAGGAGACTTCCTGAGCTGGGCCTTGAGCAGCTGCGGCGCCGGGGGGGACTTAGCCGACTCCTGCTTCCTGGAGGGCCCTGCGCCCACGCCCCCTCCTGGCCTCAGCCTCAGTGGTAGCTTCTTCATTCAGGCGGTACCCGAACACCCGCACGATCCAGAGGCACTCTTCAACCTCATGTCGGGCATCTTAGGCCTGGCACCTTTCCCAAGCCCCGAGGCTGCAGCATCCCGGGCCCCCGTGGATGCCCCCTTCCCCGCGGGGCCGGACGCCTTGCTGTCGGGTCCTCCGGACCTTTACTCCCCGGATCTGGGCGCGGCCGCCTTCTCAGAGGCGTTCTGGGAGACTTCGCCTTCCGCGGGCGCCCCCTCGCAGTGCCTGTATGAGCCTCAGCTCTCCCCGCCCGACGTCAAGCCGGGCCTCAGGGCGCCTCCAGCCTCTCCAGCGCTGGACGCAGTCTCGGCCTTCAAGGGTCCCTACGCTCCCTGGGAGCTGCTTTCTGGTGGGGCCCCGGGGAACTGTGGGTCACAGGGAGGCTACCAGGCCGTCCCCGAAGCTCGTTTCCCCTCAATAGGGACCAAAATTGAGGACCTGCTGTCCATCAGCTGTCCCGCGGAGCTGCCAGCCGGCCCAGCCAATAGACTCTACCCCACCGGGGCCTACGACACTTTCCCCTTGGCCCCGGGTGACATAGGGGAGGGAGCCGAGGGCCTCCCGGGGCTCCTCACCCCTCCTAGTGGGGAGGGAGGGAGTAGCGGCGACGGTGGAGAGTTCTTGACCGGTACGCCGCCTCAGCTTTCCCCGCTGGGCCTTCGCAGCGCCGCCACGGCAGACTTCCCAAAACCTCTGGTGGCCGACATCCCTTCGAGCAATGGTGTGGCCGCGCCACCCGTGCCGCCGCCACCCGCCCCTTTCCCCCCGACCAAGGCGCGGCGCAAAGGGCGCCGGGGCGGCAAGTGCAGCGCGCGTTGCTTCTGCCCGCGGCCGCATGCCAAGGCCTTCGCTTGCCCGGTGGAGAGCTGTGTGCGCAGCTTTGCGCGCTCCGACGAGCTCAACCGCCACCTGCGCATCCACACCGGCCACAAGCCCTTCCAGTGCCGCATCTGCCTCCGCAACTTCAGCCGCAGCGACCACCTCACCACGCACGTGCGCACCCACACGGGCGAGAAGCCCTTTGCCTGCGACGTGTGCGGCCGCCGCTTCGCGCGCAGCGACGAAAAGAAGCGGCACAGCAAGGTGCACCTCAAGCAGAAGGCGCGCGCTGAGGAGCGGCTCAAGGGCCTGGGCTTTTACCCGCTGGGCCTCTCCTTCGCCGGCCTGTGAGCAGGCGATCGGTTTGTAGGGCGAGGCGCCGCCGCCGCTTGGCGCGCACTACGAGATCCGGTCAGGCTCCCCTCTCCGCTCTTCATCCACGTCGTCTTCGCAAGCCCCAGGGCCGGCCTCCAATCCCGCTTCCAGTTCCCACGAAGCGTCCGCAGCACACGCCCAGTTCAGCACCAGCTCTGTGGATAGCTCCCGATGTCCGGGCGCTGTGTCCCTAGTCAGCCGCGCTCTGGGGAAAGTCCCTTGAGGCCACCCACTGAATAGGCACTTCCTTGGGACTCGAGGCAGTCTTTTGTAACTGGCGCACGCCCTACGCCCTCCTCTACACCCCCCTCTCCCCAGGGTCAGGCTGGGGCAGCGCCGAGCTGGTCTCGCGCGGGACTTTGTACAGCAATGTCATTTCCAGCAGCCTTTGGTTGTAACGTTTTGCTTTGGGGTTGTCTTCCTTTCTGTTGTTAATTTTTTGTAAAGCAGACGCTACTCAAGCAGTTGACAAAACTGTTTATTTTTGCAATTAAAATTATTGTGCTAAAAGCTTACTGCATCTGTGATATAAGCTCCTGGCACTTCCCCCAGGACAGTGTATGCCAGAAGATAAAAGAAGCCGTGCTCGCAGGGTACGGGCCCTGAACATATTAGATACCCACTGCGAGGCACACCTACCAAACACTGCGGCACACAGGATGCATTCTATAAGTATGGATTGAATTAATGAATAAATATAATCACAGCCAACCTAAGGGCTAGCGGTGTTTCTGGAACTTAAAAGTGGAAATCGTGTAGGTGTTAGGCATTGTGCATCTATTATCCTCAACCCTCACAGAAGCAGACAAAAACCCCACTTCAGAAATGAAATAGTGAAGGTAACTTGCTAGGTAACCCAGCCGGGAACAGATAAGGTCAAACAGACCTGTCTGGACTCCAAAGCCTGTGTTTATTTCCCACTCACAGAATGGAGGCACTCGAGTTTAGTCCTGCTCTGCTGTTTGGAAAGGCTTCGGCAACTAGGGGGAGCCCCAGGCAGTAGCAACAGCAGCAAAAGGCTGCAGTGTTTCCAGTGCTAAAATTTGTGAATACCCATAGTGTGTAGTGTGTCATAGAGGCTCCAGCCTGTGCCTGTGCATCTGTTCCAAGAGTCTTGCTGTCAATGCCAAAAGGGTCTCAGTCTTCAGCCAAACCCTGCCTGGGTCTAGTGAGGAGCAGGCCTTGCCAGAGGCTCACCGTCCCCTTAGCTGCTCTTCCCACCAAAGTTCTCCAGGAGGTGGCAGCCCCCTTACCATCCAGTCATGCACCTGCCACAGCCCCCTTTCCCACATTTTCCTTCAGGCAAACACTTCATAGTTTGGGGGAGGAGGAACTCTGGGGTGCTAAGAAAAGCATGGCCCTGTGTTGGGGAAGGTGGGTTCCCCTTTTGCCCTCTGAACTTCCTGCCCAAAGCTTCTACACTTTGGACAGACCTTGAAGCAAAAAAAAATTGTATTGTGTATGGCTGCCCTCCTCCTCCATGACTCCTCTATGCTAAGGAAGGGAGAAGGCCGGTGTCTGGGAGCTTTATCCTCCTCACTTCTAAGCCAAGCTGTTCTTGAATTAAGAGGAACCTAGGAATCACCCCAACTTGTGAGCCTCTTGGCTTCTTCATTCCTTCCCTCTAGGATATGTTCACCCCATGCACCCCGACCCCAAGTCCAACTATTGGAGGCAGAATTATCAAGTCAGAGAATTCCATTGTTTTCTCTCTGCAGGAGGTTAAGTGCTTTCTGGTGGCTGTGTATCAATTTGTGGTAAAGGATTTGTTGTTATGTCTTCAGGGGAATTAACATTTTAGAAGAGAAGCCTGCAGAGGACAGTGTTTAACTCTGCAGAGAAGCTCAAATGGTTGAGTACCAGTGAGACAACGGGGACCCTCATGATATACCTTGCACTTCTGGGCATGGACCACCTGACTTCACTTTCCATGCAGATTAGGGTAAGGAAGGACATCAAGCCACTGCTCCCAAACCACACCACCTGAACGAGGGAGAGTGCAGCCAGGCTGGGCTCTGACCACCCCACTGCAGCCCCTCCAGCAGCATTCCATCAAGTGCTGGCAGCTCAGCTGCGCCTCCTACTTGTCCTCAGACACGTCTAGGCCCGGTATCACTGCTGAGGAAAGGGGGTCCAGGAAGTGACTTCATCGTTATCCTGCCACCAGGAGCCCAGCCAGGTTCTAGAACTCCTGACTTGAGACGTGCCTCCTGCTTCCCAAGGAACACTGCTCCAATTTTACGGATTTTAAAGGAAGAGAATACCAGGCCAGGGAGGGAGTTAAAGTTAATCAGAAAATCAACCCAAATCTGGATGGAAACAGAATTGGGGATTGTCAGAGCTTCATTTTCCCTACTTGGTATTTTGTTGTTGTTGAAGATGTATTTTATTTATTTGAAAAGCAGAATTAGAAAGGGAGAGAGAGAGAGCTTCCATCCATTGGTTTACTCTCCAAATGGCCACAATGGCTGGGGCTGGGACAGGCTGGATCCAGAAGCCAGGAGCTTCATCCAGGTGCTTCACGCACTTGGGCCATTTTTGGATGTTTTCCCAGGCACATTATCAGGGGGCTGGATTGGAAGTAGAGCAGCCAGGACTCAAACTGGCACCATTTTAACCGGTTATGCCACAACACTAACACCACACCAGATCATTTTTATCTGGAACTCAAAATATGGATGCTTTCCCAGACTCTGATCTTAGCCCTCTTTCCTACTTCAACACTCCCCCCAGAGAGTGCATTCACTGTTAGTTCCTTCAGCCATCACCCCTACATAGAGGGGAAAATGCTCTGGGACCCATATTGATCAGTTTTCTTTTTTAAGATTTATTTCTTTATTTGAAAGAGTTACAGAGAGAGACAGAGATGTAGAGAAAGGTCTTCCATCAGCTGGTTCACTCCCCAAATGGCTGCAACAGCTGGAGCTGAGCTGATCTGAAGCCAGGAGCTTCTTTTGGGTCTCCCCATGAGTGCAGGGGCCCATATACTTGGGCCATCTCCCTAGCAGGAAGCTGAATCAGAAGTGGAGCAGCCAGGACCTGAACCGGTGGCTATATGGGATGCTGGCATGGCGGGCCAGGGCTGTAACCCACTGTACCATAGTTCTGGACCCACATCCTGATCAGTTTTGTTTGCTTCAGGCAAGCCTGGGAAGAGTATCAGCTGATGGATACAAGTCTTAATTTCTTGACTTAGGGTTCCTGTTCCATGCAGGTGTTGAGATCTCAGATTCCTACTCAGGTAGTTACAATTCCTTGAAGGCAGTTCTCCTTCCTCAAACTGAAGTGAGGGAGATGAGGTTTAATTATTCCAGGTCTTTGCCTTCTACTTAGAGTAGCATTCTAAGCATAGGCACATATAAGGTGCATGAAGTGTTAGAGTGTATTTAAAAGGTGAGAGAGCAGACACACACATGCCTGGGCATAGTTGAGGAATGGAGTGGGCCAGAAGGAGAAAAGGGATGGGGGAGGGGAAGTAGAGAGAGAGAGCATCTCAGTGCCTTCTCCACTGGTGGTGAAGGGCCCCTCCTGGTGGCTGGTCTCTTTTATAAAGTTGGAACTGGGAGCGGCTAATTCACATAGTGCCGCCTCCTCTTCTCAGGTCCCAGGTAAAGCAGACATTACCTGGAAGGGGGCCATTCTGATTAACAAGTAGGTTGGTACTATTACACATGGGGTCCGCATTACAATTTGTGATCCTTATCTAGCTACCTGTTTATCCCATATCACAACCAGGGCCAAGGTCAGGAGTGACAAGCACTGTGCCTCCCTCCTCAGCCCTTCTGGGGTTAATCACAGCACATCTCATGCTTGCTGCATTTTTTAGTCTCGGTTCCTTTGTTTTGACCCATGTAGATTTTCTTTCCTTTCTTGCAAGCTCAACTAAGCGTTGCAAGGGTTGCCTTTTACCTTTTGTGGAGCCTTCCACGTATTCTGTAGCAGGAGTATTTGAGTTATCTGGTCAGCAACACAAGAGAACTTCAAAAATTTGTGGAAAAATGGAATGCAAATTGTGAGTTTCTTTTGGTGCAAAAATATTCTTTGAAATCCATGCATAGTTTTCTCTTAATACACATCTTCTATGTATCACAAAATAATTTTTGTATCAAAGATACTCTGCCCTAAAATGAATTCATTTTTTTATCCTATTAGAGTGAGAGAGACCAACTTTCCAGCCAGGGCTGATCCAGGCTGAAGCCAGGAGCCCAGAACTCCGTCCAGGTGTCCCACATGGTAACAGGGGCTCAAGTACTTGGGTCATCTTCTACTGCTTTCCCAGGCACATTGGCAAGGAACTGGAGCATTCAGAACTTGAACCAGTATTCTGACAAGGGATGCTGGTGTCATGGGCAGCAGCTTAGCCAGCTGAGCGACAATGCTGGCCCTGCACACACTTTTTGAAGAACCGTCATTTTATTGGAAACTGCATCCAGAAGATGTTGGTTCTTCTATTAAACTCTTTTCCATATTTATCCTCTTTCTGCCTATTGCCATCACCTCTGTCCATGTGAACTCTTTCACATGCACACACCTTGTCTACTACAATCACACGGAATCACATAAATTGCAGTTGGAAGGAGCTTATAAGAACATCCTGTCCAAACTCACTATATAGAAGAGAAAACTGAGGCCCAAGAGGTTTGGAGATTTTCTTTTAAGTGCACCCAAGTGGTGATGGACTGAAGGGGTCCCTGAACCTGTGCCTTCCAGTTCTAAGACCAGTGCATATCCACATATCCCTTCGTGGCACAAATCACTGGGCCAGTGATTGCCAACCTTTTCATTTGCCGTGCACCTGAGGAATTTGACATACTTGCCAGTAACAGGCTCACTAGAGTCCTGATTCTCACCTTACTAAGAATCTGGAGGAGGTGAGACATGGGGAAGTGTTTGCAAAGCAACCCAACATGCCTGCTGTTTCCTCTTCCTTCCCTCCAGCCTCTGAGCCCTGCTTGACTCAGGCCTGCACTATACCATACTGCCTTTTGCAGTCCCTCTGCCCCGTGCTCCCTCCTGTCATTCTGCATTACATATAATCATACTAATGGTGAAAAGTCCCTGAAACACGATTCATGGCATTTTTATGCTTTGTCTCAAACTGGCCAAGGCATCTACCCACCTACCAAAAATACACACACATCTGCAGTTAAAGCCTTCCGTATGCGCACCAAATGCATTGTCCAACCTCCCCCATTAGCTCAGTGTCCACTGGTACCCAAATGATCCCACTCGAGCTCCTTTGTGGGCAGATACCTTGTTTTATCCACATTTGTGACGCCTGTATCACCGAGCTTACTGTGCAGCACACTTCGGTGCTTAATTACTCTGTTGTTTAGTTGACAAAAAAGAAGGGGATGAAGGAAGGAAGGAAAGTGGCTGGAGAACCACGAAGCTGGGAAAGAGGAGGAGGAGGGAGGAAGAGGAGACAGCGTGAAAAGCAGCAGACAGAGGCCCTGATCTGACCACGGGATCCCACGAGTGATCCCACACACCTGGCCAGTCTGGGCCTGTCCAATTCTCTGTCCATGATCCTCTGCCTCAGCTCTGGGATGAAGATGTGTCTGTCACCGAGCCCTTCCTTGTGGTTTATCTGGCCCACATGGAGTGGGATTCAGTTTAACATTTTTAGAACACGGTTCCCATAACAACCAGGCAGGAACTGTTGTCTGTGAAATGTAGCATGGGCACGCATGCGCACATACACATACTTACATACACATACATGTGTGTATGTACATGCACACATGCGAATATGCTTGAATGCACTCACACATACACCCACACACCCACATGCATAAATAGGTGCACACTTGCATGTACTCACAAATACACAATGCACCTTTGTACATATATATACACACAGGTTTACACCTGCATACACAGGCACATGCATGCATGCACACATGTGCAGAAGCACACGCATGCATAAACATGCTCCAAGTTGTTTTCATAAATTCACAGGAAACGCAGAATAAGGACAAATATCACAACAAAGGAGGAATCAAGACAATTTAAGGATATTTTTGGCTACCCGCGAAAGTAGTTAGATTTAGGAAGTCCGCATTTTAACAGGAGAAGGCTAAGTGGATTTAACTGTAGAAGAGGGAAGGCAGGAAGGCATTGTGGTTGACTAGACTTTGGGGTTCAGCAACTTGAGTTCAGACCCTGGCTTTGCCATTTGCTGGACTCTGACATTCAGCTCCTCTGTCAGCAGAATGGCAACAATGTCTGCTTGATGGGCTCACTAGGAAGATGAAATGATATGTATAAAATTATTAGCATGATGTTTGGCTCATGGTAGTAGGAGTGGTTGGGGCCAGTATTGTGGTGCAGTGGGTTAGGCTGCCACTTGCAATGCCAGCATCCAATCAGAGCACTGGTTAGAATCCCAGCTACTCTGCTTCTAATCCAGCTCACTGCTAATGCACTTGGGAAAGCAGCAGCTCCCTGCCACCCAAGTGAGACCCAGATGGAACTCCTGGCTTGTGGCTGTAGCCTAGTCCAGCCCCAGCTGTTGTGGGAGGGAATCAAGTGGTCAGAAGATCTCTCTCCCTCCCTCTTTCTCTGTCACTCTGCCTTTCAAATAGATAAATAAATATCTTTTTAAAAAATAAGAACTGTTATTTAGGTGTTAGGAGAAGTGATTTCTCATTCACCCCATCTGAGAAGACTTGATAGAGGAGGAAAGAAATTCAGAGGCCACAGGAAGGAAGAGAAGGGAGGGGGAGAAGGGAATTTAACTTGACTTTGGCACCTGTACAACCTCAAGCCTTATTAAATTTCCCTTTCCCCAAAGCCATCTGACAAGTCTACAAATGACCTTCCTGATACTGAGTGCCCAGTGCCTCTGCCTTCATCAGAGTGGGATGAGGGTTAAAGCCCTGACCTGTAGTGCTGGCATCCCATATGGGCATCGGTTCAAGTCCTGGCTGCTCCACTTCCGATCCAGCTCTCTGCTATGGCCTGGGAAAGCAGTAGAAGATGGCCCAAGTCCTTGGCTCCCACACTCATGTGGGAGACCCTGAAGAAGCTCCTGGCTCCAGATTTCGGATTGGCTAGGCTCTGGCCGTTGTGGCCATTTGGAGAGTAAACCAGTGGTTGGAAGATCTCTGTCTCTTTCTCTGTCTCTACCTTTCTCTGTAAAAGAGTGGTATGAGGTTAAGGATAGTCCCCAGCAGCCTCACGTTTACAGAGCCCTGGGTTAGATTTAGGCTCGCTGCAGCTGGGCTGCCCCTCAAGGCCTCCTGCACAACCCTGCCCCCACACCATACTCACTGGAAATGCTGTCCTCTCTTCCTCCTCCATCGCTCAGCTCAGCCCTGGTCTTTTTTCTTTCTTTCTTTCTTTTTTCTTCTTTAAGATCTATTTATTTATTTGAAAGGCAGAGTTAGAGAGAGAGCTCTTCCATCCACTGGTTCACTCCCCGATGGCCACAGTGGCAGGGACTGGGCCAGGTAGAAGCCAGGAGTCAGGATCTTCTTGGGATCTCCCATGTGGGTGCAGGGGCCCAAGCACTTGGGCCATCTTCCAGTGCTTTTCCCAGGCATTAGCAGGGAACAGTCAGCAGTGGAGCAGCCGTGGGCATGAATCAGTGCCCATATAGAATGCCAGCATTACAGGAGATAGCTCAACACCATATGCTACAAGGCGGGCCCCAGCATGGTCTTAATTTCCCCAAACGCTGTGATTTCTCAGGCCCCACTGCAGCCCTGAGGACTTCTCCAAGCCTGGGGCAGTCAGATCGTTCCTGCCTCAGCAGCTGGGCAGGCTTTAGATCAAGTGTGTTTATTGGTGTCTGAGTGGGGTGGGGTGGGGTCAGGGCTAGGTGCTCCAGTTCCATGAAGTTCCAAGGCTGCTGCCCTAGCCAAGTGGTGGGGTTGGGTAGGAGGGAACGTGGCCAGGGAGGCCACTGCCCTTTCTTCCTTCTCTAGGTCTGGGATGAGATTTGTGACGGGGACCTGTACTCCTAGGCGTAATCCTGAGGGTGGGATTAGGTCTCAGGACACTACAGGGCCTGGCCACAGCCACCAATTCCGCTGGTTCCCTAGGAACACCCAGAGATCGTCCCAGGAGGCCTCCGCGGAGACCACGCCTCTGACCCAAGGTCGCCAAGCGCACGACCCAGGAGCGCGTCCCACGAGGCCGCTTACAGACCGTGGCGCACACCCCAGAACCATGCCCGCGCCCACCGCGGGATTTGCCCCCCCTTCACCCCCCCCCCCCCGATTGGGAGCAGGCCCAAGCCAGAGTGGTAGGAATTAGGTGAGGAGAGCTGACTAAAGGTGGGCGGCCGAGGCCACAGCTGGAGGCGATCGGGGCGGGGAGTGCACTGGGTGGTGCCCAGAGCTGGAAAGACTGGGATAGGCAGGAGCGCGGCGCGATCCGTCCCTGCGCCCCCGGGGCGGCGCCGCGAACCCCTCCCCCATCTGAGCCACCTCCCGCGGAAAACGTGGGGTCCCGGCGCAGCCGCTTCTGCCTGCATCTGCCGCTCCCCGTCTCTCGTAGAGCCCGCCCCGGAGGAGGGGCCGGCTCCGCCCCACCTCCTCGCTGCCTCCCTCCCCCTTCCCTTGCTTTCCTCCGACCGCGCGCCCCCTCCTCCCTCCCCACCTCCCTCCCTCCCTCCTCCATCCTTCCCCCACCCGGTTTGTGCGCCCCTCCCGCTGCGACTGGCTGGGACGCTCGGCCGCCCCCGCCCCAAGAGGGAGGCGGGGGCGCTAGCCGCGGCGGCCACCCGAGGCTGCGGAGGGGAACGAGATCTGAGGCCCCGAGGCGGCCCTGCGTCTGGGCCGGGCACGCGGGGGCTGCCTGTGCACCCCCAGCCCCGGGCCGCGGGCCTGGCCTCGCCGCGGGCTGGAGGAGGTAAGGGCGAGTCGCGGGCGCGCTGCGGGACTGCTACTGGAGAGGGAACGCAGGGAGGACCCCAGCCCTGCCTCCTGCTTCCCCTTGCTTCTCCCCCGCAACCCCCCGGAGGCCCGCGAGGCCGCCCGACCAGGATGGATTCTGGGCAGGCCAGGCCAGAGACAAGCAAGGGGTTAATTTAAGGAATTAAAATCAGAACGGTTTGAAACCAGCCTTCCCCTCCCCCCTCCCCGCTTTGCCTATCGCTCACTCAGAGCCAGGTCGGAGGTGGGGGGGTGGGCGGGTCGGGGCCCCAGCACCCTATTGGGATTCCGGACCTTGGAGAGCGGAGGCTAGAGGGAGGGAGGGGGGAGCCCCCAAACCCCATCCTTCCGCCACCTGCCTCTTACGGGTGGGGGAGGGGCTTGGTGCCAGGCCTGGTTGGGCACCTGTGCGGGTGTCTGCGTGCCGGTGTGCACGTGTGACATTCTGGAGGTGTGCATGTGTGTGCACCCATGTTTCTATCTGCTCACATTCCGGTGCCTGCGCGGTCACTGTGCCCGCAGTGGCTCTATATGTGTCTGCATTGCTTTGCGTGTGAGTGTGTGACACCCACGGTGCCTGTGTGGGCTGCCCACAGTTGCCTGTGAGTACAGAATGGGACCCCCCTTCCTCCGTGGGCTGAGGCTGCAGCAAGGGGCTCAGGTGGTTTTCTAGGTGTGGGATCCAGGTGCTGGAGCCCGTGTGTGTGTGACCTTGGAGCTGTGTGCTTGTTTGCAAGAGCAACAGTGAGCGGGATCTTAGAACAGAAAAAGCAGGGTTGCCAGGAAGCAGAGGACTGCCCTCACTGACCCCTGTGGATCTTCACTTCCCTGGGAGGTCCGCGTTTCGCAGCCACAGTGCAGGTGTGGAGAGCCAGAGACCTGGCCTTGGCCTTCTGGAGGACTTCAGGGGGACTGAGAGAGGCAGGGGCAGTCCTTTCTTCCCCACCTGCAGGGGTGTAAATGGGAGGGACGTAGACTTAGACCCATGCTTAGAATCCCTCCACCTGCTGGCAGATGCCTCCTGGAAGCATGGCACTTAGAGGTTCTTATGTGGCTTGTAACTCCATCTATCCACATCCAAACCTTCTTCTGTCATTTCTCCCTCTCTGCTCCTTTCTTTCCTGCATGTGGATTTGATATGGAAAGAGGAAGAAAGAACTGTTGGGCCCTGAAGGCCGAGTGGGAGGGAGAGGAGATGGCTTGGGCAGGCAGGTGGGAAAACCTTCAAAAACAAACTCTGCTAACTTCTCAGTTTTCCCTGATGTGAATTTATCACACACACACACAAACACACACACAGAGTATTTGGTGATGTCCACACCATTGTTCCTAGATTTCAGGAGGCCTCACTTGTTTCTTTTGGGGTATATTTGTAGCAGGAAGGAGGTGATGGTTGTTGAAAGGTAGTTGCCAGTCTTGCCTTCCTACCTCTCTGGTGGCCCGTCAGGTTATTCATTCAACAAACAGTTACTGACTGCTACTGTGGAGTTATCTGTGAGCCTTCAGGTGTGGGAGTGCTATTTCCCTCACCACCAGAAGGGACAGAGTGTTGAGACAGAGACCAAAAATTCTGAAATCAGTGGTGCCGAGTTCAAATCTTGGTTTATCACAGCTTCGGTTAGGCATTGGTGTGTAACAAACTACCCTACAATTTAGGGACTTAGAACAGCAGTGAGTGAGTATTTCTCTTGGTGTGCAGGTTGGCTGTGACTGTAGCTGTGGGCTCTGGGGTCTCGCTTGGACACTCACACAGCTGCCTTCAGCTGAGGGGCTGGCACGAGAGGATCATCAAGGTGGCCTCTTATTCTTGTGGTCTGTCTCCCTCTGGCATCATTTGGTTGTCAAGCCCCAGTTTCGTACCTGGCAGCTGGGCCCCAAGAAGGAGTATTCCAGGAGGAAGTCCTAAGGTGCACCTGCTTATCAAGCCTCTGCCTACCTCAGGCTGGCTAATGTCCCATGGGCCAAAGCAAGTCACATGGCCAAGTGTGTGTGGAAGGGTATCACATGGTGGGGACCATGGCTCACTGGGGGCTACCAAAGCTACAGACTGTCAAAGTCCTTACTGGCTTTGGGCAAGTGACTTGGCCACGTTGAGCCTGCATTTCTTCATCATAATACAGAGATGATAACAAGCGTATTCAGAAAGTTTGTGGGAAAGTGGAATTAAAATATTTATTCTGTTGCAAAATATTTTTTAAATCCGTGCATAGCTTTTGCAGAATATGCATTTTCTATTAACTTTTTGAAGAGCTTTTATACCACTTTCTCATCAGTGTTGTTCCATGGACTAAAGGACTAGCGTGGTGTCTCATTGGAATAATTAGACGATAAATATTCACTGCTTGGATTGTTGAACCATAAGCTTCCTAGCAGCATGACTGTCAGCGTTCATGTGCCTGGCATGGGCCTTCAGCTTGACTTCTTTCGCTGGGTAGATAGAAGCCTTGATGCTCAGCGAGAGTGAGTGACAGCGTAGGGGAGATACAGCAAGTTCTTACCTCCCAGTAGGTGACTGATACAGCCAGGAAAGCACCTGTAATTCAAGGTGATTCTTGGAGGGTGGACTTTGCCTCTCAGAAGATGGCCAGCCTTCAGAGACTGGATAAAAGTGACATGACTGGATTAATATTTGCAAAGAAGCCATAAGAATCAAAGCTTGAGGAGTTACCCCGTATTAGACAGTCTTGTGTCCAGAAGAAGCAGATACAGGTCTGAACCTGGCTGTGGGGGAAGTAAGAAGCCCAGTCAGTGACTGGTGAGATCTGAGGGCACTGGGCTGGGGGTTGCTATCCAGGGTGCTGAGTAGACCATAAAGCTATTGGCCAAGAGAGGAAACCTGAAAAAGAAGCAGGTGTGAAGCTGGGGTTTGTGGTATTGTGAGTTCAGTATTAGCCGTAGTAAAAATTGTGCCACCAACACTGAAATGGTGCATTTTTCTTTTTTTTTTCTTTTTTTCTTTTTATTTTTTTGACAGGCAGAGTGGACAGTGAGAGAGAGAGACAGAGAGAAAGGTCTTCCTTTGCCGTTGGTTCACCCTCCAATGGCCGCCGCGGCCGGCGCGCTGCGGCCGGCGCACCACGCTGATCCGATGGCAGGAGCCAGGAGCCAGGTGCTTTTCCTGGTCTCCCATGGGGTGCAGGGCCCAAGCACCTGGGCCATCCTCCACTGCACTCCCTGGCCACAGCAGAGGGCTGGCCTGGAAGAGGGGCAACCGGGACAGAATCCGGCGCCCCGACCGGGTGTGCCGGCGCCACTAGGCGGAGGATTAGCCTAGTGAGCCGCGGCGCCGGCGTGAAATGGTGCCTTTTTCATTCTCTACCTCTCTGCTGGCTAGTTCTAAGAGGCACTTTTTAAAAAAGATTTATTTATTTGAAAAGCAGAGCTACAGAGAGGCAGAGGCGGGGAGGGGGGCAGTCTTCCATCTGCTGGTTCACTCCGCAGATAGCTGCAATGGCCAGAGCTGCACCAATCCAAAGCCAGGAGCCTGGACCTTCTGGGTCTCCTACGTGGGTGCAACAGCCCAATAATTTGGGCCATCTTCTGCTGCTTTCCGAGGCCATAGCGGAGAGATGGATCGGATGTAGAGCAGCCGGGCCATGAACTGGTGCCCACATGGGATGCCGGCACTGCAGGCAGCGGCTTTACCCACTATGCTACAATGCCAATCCTGAGGCACTTTTAAAAAACAAATTGCCTTCCATTCTAGGTCTAAGGCATCGAATTGTCCATGCCTCAGGCCAGCAGAAGTGATGGTATAGAGTAGAATTACTTTACCTCTAAGAATCCTTTAAATATGTTCAGGTCTCGCTCATCCTAGAAACTGCTCTGGATCCACCCTTGCTGTCTCCTGCCCTTCAAAGCAGAGCTCCTGTGTCCACTCATGGCCTCCCCTCCGTACACATGAGCCAGGCTCATCACAGCAGCAAGCAGCCCTCTTGAAGTCACTTCTGCTCATGCCCATGCTGTCGACTCTGCTTCTACTGTGGCCCACTCCTTCTCTCCTTGACATCCTTGGCCCATTTCTGCTGCTGGTCCTTAGGAACATCTTGGTTCCTCTGCCCCTCTGCCTCTCTGAGCATCCCACATTTCCCCCTGCTCTCTTCTCTCTGCACTCTCTCCAGGGGCCTGCTTGTCCAGTTTCATTGTTATGCTTGAGCTGTCAAAACTATTTTTGGTTGCATATTGCAAACTATTTACTCCATATCTCTACTTCCAAAGCCCACTGGAATCTCAGGTTCATGGAATCCACAACCAAACTCATGGTCTGGCTCCTAAAACCTGCCCCGCTCCATCCTTCCTCCTTACTAAGCTACATCTTCATCCACTCAATTGCTAAAAACCTGAACATGAGCCTTACCCTGACTCCTCCCTTTATTACCTGCCACAGTTGTTCTTTCTCCAGGATTGCCTGACTCCTTCCTTAAAATGATTTCCATTGCCCAGATCCCAACAGCCTTGGCTCCCTGTATCCCATTCTCTGTAAATCTAATCAAGTCCTTGCCATTTGTTCATTCATTCCACAGCCAATTACTGAGCACCTACTGCAGGCCAGGCACTGTTATATGGTGAATGTTGGGCACCAGCACTGATTGAGACCTACCATGTCTTTCATTTCCTTGCCTTTGTACGTGTTCTTTCGTCTGCTTAGAATGCCTTTCTTCTGCTCCTCATACCTGAGTCCTCGCCTGCTGGCAATTCTACTTTTGGTCTTGAGTAAATTGAGATACTGCCACCTCCAGGGGTTCTCCATTGCCTCAATGCCTCAAGTTAGGTGAAGTACAGAACCCTGTACCAGTCTCTCACCTAACTTAAGTTTTTAAGTTATTTTTACATTTTTATTTATTTGAAAGGCAGAAAGAGATCTTCCATCCGTTGATTCATGACTCAAATGCCTACACAGTTGGGGCTGGGCCAGCCCAAAGCCAGGTGCCTGGAACTCAGTTTAAGTCTCTCATGTGGATAGCAGGACTCGAGTAC